GATTTTATCACTCACCGATGACCATCTTCTGCTGGACAGCCTTGGGTTGTTCGGGCTGTTTCTCCGTCTCACCCATGATGGTAAGGTGGTGTAGAGACAAGCAATCCAGACCAGGATGGTACCGTCTGTCCCACTATGATGTTCACTCCTTTCTGCTGATGTTAGTAATGGACATGGACGTGCATCTAGGCGACCGGACAAACACCATGCCTCGGATCGTGTAACGCGCTCGCTGATTCGCTGGCCCCCGTCAGCCGGCCGCCGAGTCGCCAATCACGCGCGCCGAGTCCTCACGGAGACGCACGATCGGCGGCCGAGCGACGCCGAACACCATGGCGCATGCGCGCACCACCGGGAGAGGCACAGCTTTCCTATTGTACCTTTGAGAAAAATTTTGAATCCAACGAACTTCAAATGTCCATTGAAAGATCTTCTTTCAAGCTGTGCTTTAGTTATGTTAGGATAAACGAAACTAAATCTAAAGAATTTTCTACATCTTTTGTCAATAATATAAAGGCCACAATGATCTATTCATTTTAACAATCCTTACTTTTAAGAAATATAAATTTCTTTGAAAGAAAAGAATAAATGTAAAGAAAATTTTCAAAAAAATTTTCGTTACAATTTCCTAGAAATAAAAACAATAAGGATCGAATGAATAAAAGAAAAATTTTTCAAAGGAATTTTCAAGTCCTTTGAAAACTTTTGAGAATCTTTCTGCAATTTTCTAGAAATGGAAATAAAAAGAACCAGAGACAAAAAAAATAGAAAGAAAAAAGTTAGAGAGGCGTGGAGATATATTGAAAAAAAAGGAAATATCAAATATTCAAATATCTATATAATACGCAAATATGTGTATAACAAAAAATAAGAACGTCAGCATGTCAATATTCGAAAAGGTGGAAAAAATGGAATTCAAAACAAACGTATGCGAATCTTTGGTATTTTCTGGCGTCATAGAAATCAAAAGAAAATTTTAATAATAATTTTAATAACGATTTAAAGAAAACTCTAAACGTTCGTTTATTATATAATGTACAATGCGCAATATGAGAGGATATAACTCTCATCTTATTCTTTATAAGATATAATTATCAGTAATATATTACAGTACTTGTGTGTATGTTCGTGTATGCTCGAACGTTCCAAACTTATTAATACGTTAGCGAGACAATATTAATTTAACACATTCACACCCTCCTTCTCTTTCTATATACAATTTTTAAAAGACAAACAGCATCGTTTAATCAATAACACATGAGATTTTAAATTTAGAGTACAGTTCTGGATATAGTAAACGAAGAAGAGTACAAATTCAATCTTGTAACAATTCTACGCACGTGTGTGAACGACGCACTTGTTGCCTAATGTTGACTAATGCACATGACTAATACTAGCACATCTATATAGCAGAAAAAAAAGCGATGACGATACAATCAGTTGATCGGATAAGAAGCCTACGATATGCCACTCAAATAGAAAACGTGTGAACAACGTATCTTCAGTCACAAATAATTTTGCGTGAATTTTCTATAAAATTTCTTCCACCATATAAGATGTATACCGCAGTACATACGCACTTCTGTAAATATTATCGTAGCTTATCATAGCTTATCGTTCGTCGCACGGACATTTTTTTAAAAGTTCCACTCGCACAAGAATAACTCAATGAAGATATAAAGCTCAATGTCTACAATGCTAGAAATCAATACAAGATCTCGGACAGAGAAAAAATTAAAAAATCGCATTTGAACAATTTGGTCACATGATCAATGAGATTAATTAATTCTTTCTTCATTCGAGGTCTCGGACCGATTTCTAGCATCGTGGACATTGGCCTTAAGAGAGGATCCATGTCGGTTATAACAAATACATTTTTATTTGGATCGCAATTTGAATTTCGTGGAAACAATGTAATTGTATAACTCGTCCCAATGCGAATTTTTTTCAGAGAATAAGAAATATGTATTATATGTTTAGGAACAACGAGATGGAAATGATACGGGTTTGCAACGAAAATAACGAAAATTGATTGCATATATTAAGATAGAAATATGCAATTTCCGCTTTATTATCAATGAGATAATATAATTCTAAAGAAAGATGCGCATGTGATACTCTTCAAATAGCACAAAGTCTAAAATTGTGACATAAGACGTTTTTAAATCGTCTTTTAGATGCAAAAAATATCTTATGACTCGATTTTAGACACTTTTTGTTGTATAGGTTTCGATTTAATCATATCGTTTAAAATTTATAATTTTACGTTATTTATAATACGTTATTATAATACGTTAGTTACAAATATACAGGTATCAGCTTGCACTTTGTTGGATTTCTGAATCATATATTGTATTTTATTGCGCAACAACAAGATTCTGCAGGTGACAGTCAGTACGCTTGAAAAATTACGTTAAGTTTTAAAGTGCTTCTTTTCCGAGATTTATGCCGCTTCTTCCTAGCGAGTACAATGAAGTTAAGATATGAATAGACGATACACTGTTATGTATACAAGATTCACCTAACTCGACCGTCTGTAATACGTTTATTATTTTTCAACAGATATCGAAAAATATGTAATAGAGAGATCGAAAGGACAAGTATCTTGGGAAGGACATAATTCTTTTAGTCATTGTTTTCATTTTCAAGATCAATGACCTCCCTCTTTCAACGAATTATTTAAAGCTGATAATTTTAAAATACAGATTAATTTTCTATAGAAATATTTATATAAAAATCTCATATTGTTACATAAAAATTTCTTATATAATTTTATATGAAAAATATAATTATAATATATTTTTATGAAATTTTCCTAATCATTCCGCATATGCATTATAAAATGCGTATTATATTAAAAGAATCAATTATTTAAAGGTACGGACTTAAAAAGTGATTACTTTATATATTACTTCGTATCTTATATATTTAAACATTTAACATTTTATATGAGAACCAGAACGGGAAACATTTCATTAATTTATGAATCTTTTTTTACAATTGTCTAATGTTTTTATACGAAGAATAAAAAAATTTTGGTTTGCACATATGACAATCATATTTGTCTCTTTGGATCAAAATTTCTTTCACTCTTTTACTTATTTTTCCACACTACCAAAAATAACTAACATATTACAGGTGATCAGATTAGCTAAAACACATCCTATATATGATATTATAGGATACATACTATATACAAAGTAGAGATATACTTAGCAACCATCACCAAACGTATTTTAAAAACATGATCACACACCGCCTAGTACTCCACAATATGTGCAATCTGTCTGTCATGTAATTTATTTATCAAATTATATTAAATATCGAAATACGACATACGCATGTCGAATGTTTTTTTACACACACAACATATACATATATAAAAGAATGTAATTGAAAAAACACTGGGAATATATATTTCAACGAAAATATGTACTCGAACAGGCGGCAATTACATTCTCCATCATCTCGGTTTTCGCGTGCGAATTGTTCTGGATCGCGGCGCGGTAGATCCGCTTCCGATGCTGAACATGCCGGGAGTCGAAGGATTAAAGGTCGGCGCAGCCGTGGTTCCGAAATTGAGAGTAGGAACTGCCGACGATGTAGTGAAGTTGAATCCCGTTGTTGCTGAAAACAAAAGAATGCAATTAGTATAATCCAGTCAACGTTTAAAAGTAAAAGAATGCACGAATAGTATCTCACAAACATCCATAATTCCTATTTCATATCTGAAGTTTAGTATTTGCGGCACAACTTAAATGTTTAACAAACAGTTGTCAATTTTATTTCTGATTACCTGGTTTAGTAGATGGAGATCCAAATTGGAACGGAGCAGCTGATGTAGCTGTAGAATTATTGCTGCCAGTGTTGAAGTTGGATCCGAAGGAAAACGTTGTGTTCTGTTGCCCGTCTTTCTGAGTGTTTCCGAAGACAAACATATTATTTGTACTACTATTTGCATTATTAGCGTTATTAGCCCCGAAGGCTGACACAGGCGGATTAGATGTGCCAAAGCTCGTGCTGGTCGCGGGTGTCGTTCCAAATAGAGATTTGTTATCACCGAACGTGGTCCCACCGCTTGCGGCACCAAATGCGAGAGTAGATGGATTCTGCGTGCCGAAAGTACTCGTTGCCGAGGAGATACTAAAGGCTTCGGTAGCCGGAGTAGTGTTTGCTCCGAATAGGGGAACTGATGGTGTGTTATTATCGGTTGAACCAAATATTCCGGTTGTACCGAAGGTTGGCGTCGCCTGTACGTTCGTCGTCGTGCCTACGCTAGATGCTCCGAACACGGGCGTGGTATTATTCGTAGTGTCGAAGGTAGGCGTGATCGCACTGGTGGAGACGTTGCCAGTGATGCCAAATGTCTGCGCGGGCGCGGTCGTGCCGGTTTGCGTAGTCGAGCCAAACAACGGTGTCGTCGTGCTACCGAACATGCCACTCGCCGTTCCGAAAGACGTCGATGGTTTTGTCTGGCCGAAAATCGGGGTACCGCTACCAAATACTGAAGGCGTCGCGGTGATCGGAGTTGAATTAATGTTAGCACTGGAGAACAAACTAGACCTAGATGTGTTGCCAGATGATGACACAACGTTAGTCGTTGGAACGAAGATCGAAGGAACCGTGGTTGTCGGGGTATTAAATATGCTAGCAGTTTCTGACGTTGTTACGGATCCTGACGCAGTTCCGAAAAGTGGCTGACTGTTGGTCGATCCAAACATGTTCGTATTTGTCGTTGTAATTGGTGTAGTGGCAAAAATGGATGTAGATGTACCGAATTGCGGAATAGTGGTTGTAGATGTGCCAAATTGCGGAACTGTGGTGGTTGTAGATGCACCAAATTGTGGAACAGCAGTAGGGGTGGACACTCCAAATGTAGGAATCGCATTATTGCTTATCGTACTCAAACTAGTTGTACTGTTAACAGTTGTAGCTGGTAGAGCTATAGCTGTAGACGTCGTGCTTGAAGTATTGGAAGCACCAAAAAGGAACAGAGATTTGCTAGTAGATAAAGTAGGCATTGAAGAAGTAACGGACGTCGTGCCCAGGGAGAACGTAGATGGGCTCGATAGTCCGAATATCGATGTGGTAGTTGTGGTATTTGTAGAAAATGAGCTATTTGCGATAGTTGTTATCGAAGTGTTGGGTGCGAAATTAAAAGATGTAGTAGATGCAATAACTTGTGACAATGACGTTGCTTGGCTGTTTACAACTTGCGTTGGATTTCCAAAAACTTTCATTTTTGGTTGAACGTTATTATTGGACTGACCAAATATGAAATTATCTGACTTCGAAGATTGCAAAGTAGTACTGTTGTTTCCAAAATTGAATAAAGGTGCGCTTGCAGACTTTGTCACAACGCTGTTCGATGTGCTACTATTTACGACGTTAAAACCGGTGATGCTAGTTGCAGTATTTGTATTGACTGGTAATATCGTCCCGGGGGATTGAGACGGCAAATTTGGTACAGTAACTTGAGCGGATGTCACAGGAGATGAGATGGGTTTGTTGCTACCAAAAGTAAAGAGAGAAGTAGTCTGAGTATTCCCAATGATAGATGAACTAATGATAGCATTTGTAGTAACTGCATTATTAGTTTCAATTTTTTCTTGAGCCGTAGTGCTGCTAGGATTAATCGGTGCGAATGCTGAACTCGATGGTGCTTTATTAACTATCAAGAAATTAGTAGATTTTGATGAAACTGACGTAAAGGTGTTGTTACTGTATGAACCAGTGCTAAAATTCGGCAAATTATTATTCGATGTTGCAGCTGGTGCTTCTATAACTGGTTTACTGTGGCTAAAGGTTGGTGCTGTCGTACTGGGAATCGAAGATACTTTTTCTAAAGACTCTGCTTTCGTAACTTCGGGCGCAAATGATACAACTTTCTTTTGCTCGGCAGTTCCATTCGCCTTAACAACCGAATTTGTTTCTTTTGTCTTGAGAATACTTGTTGCTGGTACATTCAATTGCACTGGCGACGTTTTCGGTAAACTGAAAGTTGTATCCGACTTTTCGATTTTCGCACTGGGTCTTGGTGAAGAGAAACCACTTGGTACAATGGCCGCGGTAGACAGTGGTGTAGTATTTATATTTGTTGTAGTTGTCGAGGAATTAAGAGTTGCGCAACTGACCGGGTGTGTGACTGAAGGTGTAACGGTATTAACGTCGTCTGCTTGAATTACGACATCTGGATTAATTTTATTCTCTGCTGAAAATGCAAATAAAATAGTTGATATAAAAGACAAAAAAAAATAAAATATTTATTTATAAATCATTAAGAATAATAAATATTACTTTTTTTCAACGTTATTTTATTCAACTTGATATATAATATTATATATTTACCTTTTCCTGATATTGCATCAAACATACTTTGAAGTCTGGCTTTCATACTGTTTTGCCTCATATTTCGTATATCCTCTCTCTTTATTTCTTCCACATTGTCTGTCGCGAATCTGACTTTTATATTACTCGGTTCCTCCACAAGCGATTTCAATTGTTCGTTCCGTTCGGGTTCAGCTCTCATAAATAATTTATCCGTCAATTTAATAGGTTTTGTCGATGTAAGAGATTTAATAGTATCAGTTTCATTGGTACTTTTTGTGTCTTTATGAACAGGCTCCGTTTTATCCAAATTGAGCCTCAATTCTTTACTAGATGATTTCAGTATTCCTTTTACTAGAGGAAATTCCTCTGTTTTCTTAGAATTAAGAGTCTCAGGATTTTTTAAATATATTTCGTTAAGATCAGATTTACTAATGTCTATATCTAAATTTTGAGATTGTGACACAGTAGGAGAGCTACTAGACCGTGCACTTTCCAGAGATTTGAAGTGCTTTTCGAAGTCAGGTGTACCACTACGTGAGAAATCAACTGTAGAAACATATTACCATTAAAAAATCTATGCGTCAAATAATTTAATACATAATTATATAAAAATTGATACCTACCTGCTTTTCTTTTAACTCCACTAGCAACTTGGGCGCTGGAACTCAAAGAGTTTATAATGTCAAAACAGGATCGTGTCTTTGTACGTTTGGCAGGTCTGATAGATTTACTTTGGGGTGAAAGATCCTCATCCGATTTAGATGACTCATCTCTACTTCGTTTTTGCTTGTTTTCCTCTAGAATTGTTTCTCGCTCCTCATTGAAGAATTCTGTTCTCTGCTTCTTAGCGACATCAAAGCTAACATCTTCTGTTGATGCGTGTCGTTTCAACGATATCTCTCGTAAGACTTGAACAACACTCGTGGGTGATCTGTTCTCCATGTGACAAATATTAGATAGAATCTTTTGCTTTTCAGGTGGAGAGTATTTCGTTACATCTGGTGGTGCCACTCTGACTGTTACAGGCATTCTCATCTTCGTCAATTTTGCATTCAACAGAGGAATCGGATTTGCATGGAGATTAACTTTTGGAAATTGCCCAGTGCCATATTGAGATTGATGAGTTAATTTATTTTTTGCTTCTGTAGCATACTTGGTTAGCCTTGTTGTAAGACCCGGGGATGATACGTCCGTGTATACCCTGTATTTGAAAAAAAAAATGAAACTAGTACAATAATATCAAAAGATATACATAAGATATGTTTTTATAGCTAAACTAGTATATTTAATTACTGAACTTTTTGCATTCAAACTAAAATAGGTATATATTTGAAATTTGGTGAATGGGAGAAGGAAAATTCTAGAAAATTCTAGAAAATCATCCATGTTTCATTAATACGTAAGATTAACTTTAATCTCATTTCAACTTACTATTTATCTTTTTCTAATTCTTAGAAATTGGAAAAGATAAAAACTAAATTGAACCGAGATTAAAGTTAATTTTACATTGAATAGGATTTTATACAGCAATAAAAAACAAACTATAATTGCTCAATATATAGAAATATATACAGGATTTGTTATAATTCTATAGAGATAATAAATATATATATATATATATATATATATTAGAATAAAAAATAAAAATATACATAGCTAAATGATATATCCATAAGTATATACTTACTTAGGATCGATATTGTATCTCGTCGATGCTAATAATGGTCCGGCAACTGTCTGGACCGTTTTAACACCAGCTGGTCTAGGACGCATCTTGGGACTAATACTCATGCCCCATGGAGAACCTTCAGGACTGAATTGTGTGATATTTTCCCCGCGACTTAGTGAATGATTTTGTGCGTACAGGGGCAGAGTCTTCTTGGAGGATATCTCGCGTGACTGTGAGATCAGATTGACATCACCATTCCTGGAGTTCTCTTCTCTGCTGCCAGATTTTAAAACCGGCGTGGAGGTATGCTTGCTGCCATAAGCGGGTTGCTGTTGTTGATGCGGCGTATAATCGTAATCACCGGCATACAATCTACTATCCATCCCGAGTATATCATTACCGACGCGCGTACGGTAGGAAACGCACGGGATCGGGCTCAATTGATCGATCAAGCCAAATTTGGACGATGATGATGACGACGACAATGACGACGTTAACGGCGACGACTCACCGCGTTTGACAGCGGCAGTGTATAAGTCAGTGCTGAGTTGATAATTGCTCGGGCGTCGTCTATCCATCCTGAATGGAGGAAAACGCTCGCGGTAATAACGGCTCGTACTATGCCACAGCTTACGCACGTAACCGGTACTGTGGCCGTGAACAACGCGAAGCGCTGCACCGAGCTCGTAGACCGCCTCCCGCAGATAACCGAGAACGTGATATGCGTGCGGCGATATCAAACTGTCGTTGGCGAGCAGGGAGTAGCACGCGTACACCACCAGGAGCAGCGTGAACGCCAGCGCCAGGATAGCGCCCCAGGCGTTGTATACCAATATACACCCGCACGTCACACTTATCAACACCACGGCACCGCGGTTACCGAAATCCCACATAGTACTGCCTCAAGCGAATAACCTCCCCATGTTTGAAAAGAGCACACTCACCGCAGCCGTCGGAACGTTGCCGCGAACGGTGAGATCATCGATATATATCGATATATGACGGCTGCGAAGCTTCGACGTGTTACTATTGGCGGGCGCGGGAAACGCCGAGAGTTGAATCACTAGGCGCGTTCAAGTTGACACGGCTAGGCATGCTTACCAAGCGATTATATGTGGCTCCGCACAATAAAAGGAACAGAGAACAGAGAACAGAGAATAAGAATATCAACTCAGAAATCATGTATCGTGGAATACACAGTTTCTGATAGGTTAAAATTCTTATGTGCAGAGCCTCTATATAATTGGTTGGATCTATAAGTAACAACCAATTATGTTCATTTGTTCGGCGAGTGAACTAATCACTTTGTCAACTTGAACACGTCCACTGACGAGATACAACCGGTACAGAAAAGTTGCAACACTTTTTTTTCGATGGGTTTTGGAATGCAACTTACAGCGATTGGTTCTTATTCATGGATTTACAAATAAGAACCAATCGCTTTGTGAGTAAGTTGCATTCCAAAACCCATCGAAAAAAAAGTGTTGCAACTTTTCTGTACCGGCTGTATTGGCTGTAAAAGATGCTATAAAAGATTGTCAACCTTAAGCAAATTTTTAGGAGCTACGCACAATGGAAGAAATAAGAAACAGGGAACGGAGAATAAAAATTTTAACCTGTCAGAAAACTGTATTCCAATGCATGATTTCTTTTAAACATGAAACATAAGAGATCTGTTTTCTGTGATTGAACTAGTGTACACTTTTGAAACTTAAAGTGAGATAGATATATGTTTAATATTTGTTTAAAACAAGAAAGAAAATTCTAAAACAGTCTAGTGCAGGAACAGAAAATAAACCAAAAATTGAGTAACATGATCCAACTATGGCTTTTGCCATAGTTCCTACTCACTCTAAGCGCATTGGAGCTATGAGTGATAGGAGCATATTGGAGCATGTTGGATTATGCGACGCGACAAATCTATAAAACAACATAAAGATGCATTTAGATTATTATAATTTAAATGCATTTTAAGTGAAACATAAACAGTAAACAAATTGGCCAACCACAATAGAGGACTACTTTATATTCTCTACTGTGATTGGTTGATTTACTTATTATTTAAATCTTAATGACTGCGTTCAACGAACTCAACTGTTGACTCACCAGATCTTAATTTTTTATGTGTTTCTAGAGCTGTGGTCGATTTGGACGCTTTTCAATAGGTATGGTCAACGTGATGCTGCAAACGCTTTGAAACATTTTTTAATTGGTCAGTTTGTAAAATTCTTTCTTCTAATTGGCCCATCAAATGCTTTAAAGTATTTGTAGCGAGACTTTGACCACAGCCAATACTTCTATTTTTATTTTATGTCTAATGAACGATATGGACGATAAAAACAGAATGATTACAAATGCTTAAAGCGCGTGAGTGTCCAAATTTACCGCAGCCTAGCTTTAATTCAAATTTGATTTAAATAGAATATCTGAATTCTCTACGAATTTTCATTTTGCAAATTGGTTGTAGGATACTTGACAGCGCTCCGTCAATTAATCAAATCAATTCTTCTTCCATCCGAAATATCGAAATTATTTCAAGCATCATCAACACAAGACTTTATGAACGCACCGATTGCATATTCCGAAACTCATCGTGTTGAAAGCCTGCGCATTCGCAATGCATTCATTCGTCTGATTACGTCGATTCGTCTTGTCGCGATTGGAGCATCGTACATGTGACAAGACAAGCTCCGGAACACGCGTGCCGACTGCCGAAACGCGTCAAGTGTAACCTTTTATTCGGAGCACGCCGGTCGGCCGTAGGAATAATGTCGTGGTTATTCGGCTATCGTAGTTCACAACCGCCGCAGGACTTCACGCATTTCGTGCAGCCGCCACCACCGGCAGTCGACGGCGGAGGCGGCAGCGGCGGCAGCGGCGGTGGTGGTTCACCGCCGAGGATCGGCGGCAGCATGGAAGCATATAGATTTGACTCGAGCGCGTTGGAACGAGCCGCTGCAGCCGCCAAGGAACTCGAACGATCCAGTACGATGCCTTTTTCACGCCAATTTTCCGCACTTTCTGTGAAAAATCGCGCGCGCGATTACGTAAGCGATTGAATTTAAAGGTTAGGACACGCGCCACGAGGGGACCCTCGCGCGCGATGATGCAACTTTCCGTGAAGAATTCGTTGATCGATTCGGCGAATTAGGATTTTTGTAGCATGCCGAGAACACGGATCTTTGTAAATTATATCGCCTAGTCGATGACAATTCATTGCATCAACTGTTCATTTGTTGGATACTCGTTATTCACGATGTTACTTGAAATTTTTTTTTGTAAATGAAATTAGCCTTTTTAAAAAATTATGTATAAATATTTATGTACAAAATTAATATAATTGTTGATATTTTATAGAGAGGATATATGAAATATTGTTAACAGTTTTAATAAAAATATTATATTTGAGAAAAACATAGCAAAAATTTAGTAGTCATAAATTGAATATGTAATAGCACTATTGATCTATGTTTTTTTCACTTGAATTTCTTGTACCTTTCGTTTTCCTTCTTTTTAATCTTTGTTGGAGAGAAAAGGAAAAAAAATGAATAGAGATGACAAGAAATTTAATTGAAAAGAATAGACTATAGATACTTTCCATTTATTGACACAAGTATCATTCCATCTTTAGCTGTTTTTCTTTTAGGAAGTATAGTTGACACAAACATTGTTCTATCCTTCTTCATATTCAATAAATAATAAAGATAAGACTGGAACATAGATTTTTGTATAACATAATACATGTAATATATAAAGCATAAGAAAATCAACCAATCAGTCTTTTATTTTACAGAAAAAGAGGAAATGAAAGATTTCTGATCAATCCATTTTCTTATACATTATGTAAGCAGTAAGACTATGCTTCCGCCCATAGAATGACGTCTATGTCGACTTTGGATGCTTTTCAACAATGTATACAAAGCGATACTGTGTAACACATTGTACAATTCGGTGTTTTCTAACTACACTAAAATGTGTTCAACAGTATCGTTTTATATTACTTCATGAATACCAAATTTTTACATTTCATTGCTATCTATTTTTCTAGAAGATCATTCTGATATTCCGATAAGAAGTTTTAAGATTATATTTGGATATTAAATATAAGTGTATAAGACTTTTTTTTAATTACAAATTAACATTATGTATTATTATGTCACATAATGTATAACTACATTCCATTGCTGAAAAGCATTTTGTCTCCTAAAAAAAAGTAGGTTGTTACTCACTGAATACTAAGATAGAATAATGTATTGATATGCCACTGAATGGAAAGTATTTTATTTCTTTAAAATATTGAAGAATATTGAAGATTTTTTTATCTATAAACTAATAAATATAGTTTTATTTTAACACAGAGCATGCGAAAGACGCTTTGGATTTATCCAAGATGCAGGAAACCACGAAACAGGTGGAATTTCAAACCGAATTGAAGAAATACGAAGCTAATATTGAACAGCTTAAAACAGAACAGAAACGAGTGGAGGGTGAGGAAAGAAGAAAAACAATACAGGAAGAGACAAAGCAGCACCAAATGAGAGCACAATATCAAGACCAATTGGCTAGAAAGCGCTATGAAGAGCAATTGATTCAACAACAAAAGATGAACGACGAGAATCTGAGAAGACAAGAGGAATCGGTAGCCAAGCAAGAAGCCATGAGAAAAGCTACGATAGAGCACGAGATGGAATTGAGGCATAAGAACGAGATGAGAAAATTGGAGGCGGAATTGAGAGCCAAAGCAAAGGTTGACAGAGAAAATCAGGATCTCAATTTAGAACAAATTAGATTAAAAGCCTCAGAAAAGAGAATTACTGTTTTAGAGTCGATAAAGTAAGCAATCGTTATTTTATTATTCATGTGTGTCTGTTTTATTATATAGTTTTACATTTAATTTCATAGTTATTATCTTTTCCAGAACAGCTGGCTCAGTATTAGGCTCGGGTGCCAAAGCTCTACTAGAAGATTGGGATAAGATTCTTGCGGCGGCAGGTGGTCTATCTCTCGTAGCCTTCGGAATATACACTGCCAAGGGCTCGACTAGCGTGGCAACGCGTTACATCGAGTCTCGTTTAGGGAAACCATCGTTGGTGCGCGAGACTTCGAGATTTACATTCCTCGATACTGTTCGGCATCCCATTCAAGCGGTTAAAAAGCTAAAGACCAAACAGACCGACGCACTATCTGGCGTTATCCTGGCACCAAAGCTCGAGGAGAGATTACGTGATGTTGCGATAGCCACGAAGAACACAAAATACAATCGCGGCATGTATAGGAACATACTGATGCATGGTCCACCGGGTACCGGCAAGACAATGTTCGCGAAGAAGCTGGCGGAACACTCGGGTATGGACTATGCAATCGTGACGGGTGGTGATCTGGCGCCATTGGGAAGAGACGGCGTAACTGCCATTCACAAGGTGTTTGATTGGGCATTGACATCTCGCAAGGGATTGTTATTGTTCATCGATGAGGCGGATGCGTTCCTGAGAAAACGCTCGAGCGAGCACATTTCGGAAGATCTTCGAGCAATGTTGAATGCATTTTTGTACAGAACCGGCGAACAGAGCAATAAGTTTATGCTGGTGCTAGCATCGAACACACCGGAGCAGTTTGATTGGGCGGTGAATGATCGACTGGATGAGATGGTGGAGTTCCGTTTTCCGGGTCGCGAGGAGCGCGAGCGTTTGGTCCGCCTCTATTTTGACAAATTTGTTCTCCAACCAGCGATCGAGGGTAACAAAAGATTGAAAATCGCGCAGTTTGACTACAGCTCACTGTGCAGCAAAATGGCTGATCTGACAGAGGGAATGTCTGGTCGAGAATTGGCGAAACTTGGAGTCACCTGGCAAGCTGCAGCTTATGCCTCGGAGGATGGTGTTTTAACAGAAAAAATGGTCATGGACAGATGCCTCGAAGCCATTAAGCAGCACAAGCAGAAGGTGCTTTAATATTTAAATTGAAATATTTAAATTGAAAGCACAAAAATTACC